GCCAAGGGCAAGACGGCGTTCATTAAGCTGGAGGACAAGACCTCGGGTAAGGAGGAGGGAAGGCGACGGCTCCGCTCCTCTTCGTGGGGAGGAAGGCAGCGCAGGGGCGCTACGTCCTGGTGATAAACCCTCTCCCTTTTCTCTTTTTCAGGAGAACTTTTTGCCCAGGCGCCGGTGGAGCAGTTTCCTGGCATCGCTGTGGAGAGCGTGACGGACTCCAGCAGATATTTCGTCATCCGGATCGAAGATGAGAACGGTACGTCGCGATATCCGCGGGGAATCGCTACCGAGTGCCCTCGCTGCTCTTATTTGTGATGGATTCCTGCCTTCAAGGGCAAAATATTCCCTCGTGTGCTGGCAAAGGGAGTGGGGAATCGCCACCGAGTGCCCTCACTGCTCTTATTTGTGACGGATTCCTGCCTTCAAGGGCGAAATATTCCCTCGTGTGCTGGCAAAGGGAGGAATTATTTCACTCCCATGCACCAGCCGTGCTCTGTCCTTCACCAGGAGTTAAAACAGTTTAATTTTTGCTGCTCAGCGTTAGCGTGAGGACACGCCTCTGTATGAAGGATCATCACTGCCATGCCAACCTCTGCTTTTACACACTTTTATTAATTTAAAAGCTGGTTTTACTAAGCCTGAATGTTCAGCCAGCCAGCCAGAGGTATCTCTAATCCTGGATCTCAGTCTCCGGAGTCGCGGCTCAGCTGGAGGAGGTGGCGGACCCCGAGGGGTGGATGGGATGGGCTCTTCCCTCCCTCTTCCTCCACCGCTTCGCCATTCCAACCCTTTCCCTTCTTCCCCAGGCCGCCGAGCTTTCATCGGGGTTGGTTTTGTCGACCGAGGGGATGCTTTTGACTTCAACGTGGCTCTCCAAGACCACTTTAAGTGAGTTCGTGCCTCTCCCCGTGTCCTCTCAGCTCGATGGTTTCTTGTGGATGCCGGTGGAGGGGAGGAAGCCGCGAGCTCCCGTCGCGTTTGAGCGGGCAAGCGTGGTGGGAACGCCTGTTTCTCTGTGCAGCTTTTGTGCAGGCAGCTCTCCCTCTCTCAAATAGATCCCAGCAGGCTCCCAAAGTGGGCTTCCCAGTCCAAAATTGGGCAAATTCCCTAATTCCTTCTCATTTATCCCCGTGGCACTGGAAGGAGGCTGCTCCTTGGGGGGCTTTGGGGCAGGATGGGATATTCTGCTGCCTGGCAAGGTCTCGGGTTGCATCCGAAGCTGCTCCCACGCAGATTTTGGGCAGGATTTCTCTGGGAGATCCTCAGGCTGATCCTTGGTTTGTTTTTTTTCTGCTTTTTGAATCCCTGCAGGTGGGTGAAGCAGCAGAGCGAGCTGGCCAGAGAGGCCGAGAGCCCCGCGCAGGGACCCAAACTGGATCTGGGCTTCAAGGAGGGACAAACCATCAAACTCAACATCGCGGTGAGGGGCTTCTCCGCCTAAACCCCCCCCCGGCGTTTCCCTTGGGCGG